TTCAATACTTTGATAGTCCTAGCAAATGCCTGATTGTAAACTTTTTGACAGTGCTTTGACATTTAGTCAGTTTTTGCCTTTTACAGGGTGATCTTTTTCTTCTTCTTGTGGATTTAATTTGTGGTTTGCAGTCTCTCTTGAGCCAGAATCCCTCTATCCTTTCCCATCATCTTTGTCTTCATCCTGCTTCATCCACCCTCATCATACTCCAGATTTAGTCCTCTATATAATCTCAAGCTGCCACATGTTTCAAAACAACAGAGCACCTATAGCTCTGACTGACATTAAGTAAGAGAGGGGAGGAGAGGGAGATGGATGGTACACTGAATGCCATCTGTCAAATGTGATGACAGTTGTAAGAAAAAAAAAAAAAAGCCCGGATAGTGAAATGACAGGTGCAGGGGAAGAGAGCCGAGTAAAGAAAAACAAGATGTTAAAAATAAAATATTATAGAATAAACTGCTCAGTTTAAGAGGCTGTCCTGAACAGCACATTAACTGTGTTGCCTATCTTCCTCAAAGCACACATTTCTTCCCCCATAACCACATCTCTGTGAGCTTGTCTTAGCATATCTCTGTCTCCAAAGCTCCACAGTATCTCCTCTCTCTCACCCATCTGGTCACACTATCACACAGAGAACAAATCAGACTCTCTCTCTTTTTCTCCCCCTCTCCTCCTCCTACTCCTCTGGGATGCTGTCTCCCTTTTCTCAAAAATCTGGTGCAGCCTTCTGCGCTCCTGCTGGCAGGAAGGCGCTGACAAATGGCCACTCGGCGCAGGCACTGACGAGCACTCGCACAGACTGACACTGTAAATCCCCCTTGGATACGAAAAAGTGTGACATGATGTTCCTGGCAAGATATACAATAGTAATCAGTCTATATATCCCATATGTATAGTATAGGAGGTATGACATTACAGCTCACTGTTGATATGTTGTAACCTGTGCTTTACAGCCATTTTACTACGCTTCATTGCTAAAATGTTTTAGTTTAAAGGTCACATATTATGCTCCTTTTCAACAAGTTTAAATAAGTCTCAGGGGTCCCCAAAACCAGTAGGTGAAGTTTCTTGTTCTAAATCCACTCTGATCCTGTATTTGAACATGCCTATAAACCCCTCTATTTCAGCCCAGCTCAGAACAGGCTGTTTCTGTGTCTGTACCTTTAAATGCAAATGAGTTGTGTCTGACCACGCCCCTCTAGAAGGGATAGGGAGGGATGGGCTTGCACCATGCCCAATTGTTTACGGTCAGAAGGCAGACTCAGTGGGCAGAACGAAAACTTAGCTGTGGGAGTTTCACCCACCTGGGGGAGGGGTTACTGCCCTTTGTGATGTCATCAAGGGAAAATATCCGAAAAAGGCCTGTTTGAGCACAATTTTTTTTTAAAGTGGAGCAGGCAAAAGATGGAGAGTATGGACTTTTGGGTACACATATATTTATGTGGATTTCTGGAGGGCAGTTAGAGGGTTTCTCCATTTTAACTCATCTTTTTCTGCATGTTATTGATTCAGGTAAGAGGAAAGAAAAAGAAAGCAGGATAAGGAGGTAGGGTATAGGGAGGGAAAAAAGGATGGGGTTCAAAGGTGCAGAAGGTTTTTGAAAGGAGAAACTGTCTGCGGAGAGATAATGAGAACTCATTTCACAGAGAGGAGAGCAGCAAAAAAAAAATGGAAGACAAGGATCATATGATCTAGATTCCAGCCTCATCAAGTACTGTAATGAGGGTTTGTATAATCTGCCATCTGTCCCACAATTACATGTCTTCTTTCATGCCAGGGATATAACATGAGGGGGATGGATGTGGATATGTAGAAATGATAAACGTGAGAAGAAGAAAGGGGACAAGGAGATTTTTCTTTTCATCCTAGACAAGCTGTCGATCACTCACCCGCCTGTGTTTATGCAATCATATGTATACCTCCCTTTGTCTATTCGTTTGGTTTCTTTTAACAGACTGATAGAGGAAAGAAGGAAAGAAAGACTGAAGATATAGAGGGTAGAGACAGAAATCACACTTCTTCTTCTCCAGCGTTCTCCCTCTGTCTAGTCGAAAAGAAAATAATCGAATCCTCCTCCAGTCTTGTCACTGAGTTTTTTTTTTACATATGTGAGGAGCCAGCTGTGACGACTGCTCCAACCTGAGTCATGTTCAGTGTTGTGCTAGAATTTCTTCCTCACTTTCCTCCTGAGAGATAAATAAAAGACGTTTTTTTTGTTTTTTTCTTAAGGGAAATTACATCAAAAAAATAATATAGACCAACCAGAGAGAACCAAAGTGATGTACAAGAATGCTTTCCTCCATCTTTGACAAACCGCACTATCACTATCTGGTCTAAAACCTTATGAACATCAGACCCACTCGCTGAAAGTATTGACAATAAATCCACGATTAAAAGTTGGTTCATGACTCCTAACGTGGGATAGTTACTCTTAAAGACATCATGAACGCCACTCTGATATCGAAGTCGGGATGAATTCAGCATCACTAATCCTGCTTAGTATCACTTTCTCTTTGCTCTTGACAAAATAAAAAATGTTCATTATACTCAAATTCTCTCTGTATCCATGTCAGCTTTGCTCCAAATGCTGTTTATCCCTTCATGCCTGAGTCTCAAAGAGCAGCAAGCACTTTTTCTCTTTCTATGTGATCTCTATCCCGTGTCGGTGTCCTTGACATGCTGGTGTCCTTGACAGACAGAGGATGTCCAGTCTACAGCTGCATATCAACGCTAATCCTCAGTCACCTCTGGATCAGATCACCAGCTGGAAATCCTCTAAATCACAAATAGTGGCTGGAAACAACTCGCTGAAACCTAGTGTATAACCTAGTGTTTTTGACTTCTTTGTTTCCATCTCTATCTCATTATGGGTGAACTCATTAGAGGAAAAAAATCAGATCTAGATTGTTATATTTTGCTAGTCTGAATTCGACGTGACCTCTGCTAGTCTGTGGCAGCTGCCATATGGCACCGCTCTACCCCCCACCAGCCCGAGTCTATACGCCTCAGACCTCTGCCATCTTGGCTGTTCATCAGGAACACAAGTTAGTGCTGGTAATTAGGACCGATAGCTAGTGAGTGAAGCGGAGGAAGAGCGGCTGCTCTCCGAGATTTCTGACAGACTAGGCTTCACGTAGCAGATATGAGAGAGATGAAGAGAGTATGAGATTTTATTTTTGAGGATACATGTTTTTAGAGGTGCTTGACATTTTTGATCAAATAATGCTCGATCAGCAGAATAGCCAGAGGAACCGAGTGACATGTTGCTTTATGAGTGGGCTGGAAATGAGTCAGAGAAATGGCATGTTGCCTTCTGCAAGTGAACTTTGATGCTTGTCGTGCCTAATGTAGTGTAAAATGTGGTTGGTGCAGATGTTAAAAAATGTCTTTCCCTTTTGAGGCTGCTTCTACAATGAATAAGGAATAATGTTTGGTCAGCGGAAACACGTCAATTTTCTTTTTCTTTTTTTTTGGTGTAAACACATCCTGTGATGTTAACAGATCACCAGTAAAAAATGATAAAACAGAAAGCAAGGAAATTCAGATTTGAAATAATAAAGTGTCTCTCTGAAGCTAATGCCATCATTTATATGTGTGGAGTTAGTCTTCATGGTCTAGATGAAGATAGTTTGTTTGGCTGCAGTCCTGGCACGGCTGTTAAATATCAATGTGGCTTCTCATTTACTAAGTAGCGCATTATAAACTAAGCCAAAAGCAGAGTCCACGGTTTGATGCAGGCCATTCAATATTCAGGCAGCAGATGTTTTTAGGCCGGATGAGATTAAAAAACAGATATGAGCCACATATGTCAGTTTAACAAACAAAAATATCATTTTAGCATATTTAACGTGATTCATGGATCTATTTTCTATATGCTGCCGGGGTAAGGAGAGGAAACGCTGGCGAACTTCAAAACCAGCTCGCCTTGGAGAGTCCACTAAAATAAAAGAACATATGCTGTGACATTATCAGGCAACACACTGTGTTCAGCACCCCTGTAATGCTGCCTTGTGCAGAAGATTATATTCATAATGCTTTGCAGAAGCAGCAGGAAAGCCCAGGCAGTGAATAAAAGAGAATCGTATAAAAAAAAAAGTCAGAACAGCTGCAGTCAGACTGATCGAGTTGGGAAAAAGAAAACGTACGCTACAGTCATTTTCATAGTATTATCCATCTCAAGCCGAGAGTTACCTTTTCTACTGTTTGCTCAGAACTACACACTGTGCTGTTCTGCAGAGATAGTCCAACTTTACCCCAGGTAGAGAGCGACTAATAAATCATATTTTGCAGATTAAATTTGCATACACGACACACATACACACACACATGCACACACACAGACTACACACACAGTCCTTTAATTAAACTCTGCTGAACAGGTTACAAATCTAGAGCTGCTTTCCTTATCACAAATCCTCTGCTTAATTGCCCCGTCTGCTGCTCCCTTTGTTCACGCGGGTGTATAAACTACATCAGTAAGTGAGCTGAAAAATTGGGGTGAGCTAAATCAACTTGTAATCTGCACGTCAAAGTAGCCTTAAAATATGACCCACTAATGGTTTTGGATGAAACATTATCACTCCCCACTCGCATAATTTATCATCATAACCATAAGGCACATTTTGTTCTTCACATGAAATAACCAGAGAATGACTAGATCTCTATTTGCCCTCACATATCAACTTTATTTAAGAGGACAGCTGAAAGCAAATGAGAGTCCGACAGCTGCTTGCTAAATTATAACGCACAAAGGCAAACACTCAATTATAAAAACCAGTGATGAAGCAGCATTCATGAAACTATGTTCTCAAAGGTTCACTAATAAAACATTGGTGCCTGTGTGTGTTGCCAGATTGAGCTGATGAGTCACATCAATAGAAAAGTAATTGAAGGGCTCAACATAATAATCCTTTATATGCCCGATAGACTGAGGTTAATACAAGAGAATGATTAAAAGTGTACGTCTAAGACACAAAAATAAAATCCTGCTACAGTACCTCTGGTTTCCATGGCATTTTCTTGTGTCGCTGGCTGAGAAACTTCCTGATGTGGGTGTGGTCTCTGCCATCAGCCCGTCCTGTGATTGGCTCATCATCCTTGAGGGAAAAAAATAAGCAGAAACCAGGAAAAACTTATTCAGTGAACTACACAGAAAATTGAAGCAAGACATGGAAATTGATTGTGGATTTGAAACATCATTCCACAAATACATGAAAGCATCCATTTATCACTGAGGACTGACCCTTCTTTATATGATGAAATAAAGTAGCTAAAACCACGGCCCTTTCTAACTCACGACAGCACTATGGCATGTACTGTGCATTAAACCGAGCTGAGAGTACCACACACATAAACAAACACCCACGTGTGGCCAAGAAGTCACAAGTTTATATCCTCAGAAGGCTACTACTAAGACCCTGAGGAATCTTCCCCTCACCATTCATTCCAAATCCAGCATTTGACTCACCAAAGCCCTAATCTCCAACAAACTCCAACCATCCAACCTGTCTGCCAAGATCTCCTCTCCAGGGAGCCTTGAACTCTCCCCCTGATCTGGAATTAAGCCCGGCTGTCCAGCCAGAGCACCGCAGGGCTCTTTCTCTGCGGCCTGCTAAGAGGCATGTTAATGTTAATGCTGCGGTGTGACGGGCAGGACAGTAACACAGCAGAGCTAGTTTCTCGGCCAGCTACATGGAGATAAAGGGCTGCTGGGCTCCCAGAGGAGCAGGAGGGACGGAGCTGCAGAGCTGCTAAATGAGTGGCAAAGCATCATCCATTTAGCAGGGATGTCAAAGAGAGGAAAACCTCTACTAAGACACACTGGGGATGTTTTCAGCACCCCTGAACCGAGGTGCTTTTTTCAAGTAGCCACCTGTGTTTTATATGAATCAGGGGAGGAAAAAGATTTATTTTCAGAGTGGGAGAAGTAGAAAGACCGAGCTGTCGGAAGCCAAGCCTTTGATTACTTTTTAACTTCCCTGGGAGAGAGATGAAGGAGGACAGGGAAGGTAATAATGATGAAGAAATGTGACAACAGACTCCTCTTTTTTCTGACACCAGAGGAGTGTAAAAGTCCCCTATGTTTGTCAGTGCAGCCGAAGAAACATCAACACGCTACGGCACTAGCCTTGACAGACACAAATAAACACTTGGAATCACATGGAGACCCATTCAGTGAACCACTTACTGTAATATTCATATTGCATCAGCTGAGTCTCTAATGAAAGCACGGCATAGTTATTAGTGAAATTCAAATCATAGAGAAGTCATGAGTTGTTTGGAAATGAAGCTAGACCAATACAGAGATTTGAGCTCCAGCCGATACTGATCAGCTGTCAAATAGCACATTAGTTACAATAAAAAATACTTATTGGTAGAAAACATGGAGTCATGACATTTGGCTAACTAACATTGACATTACAACTCTCCGCTACTACGGTGGTATTTTTAAAATAATTACCTCATTATAATTGAGAAACCTTTTTTTTTCTTTTTAAGGATTATGCATGACCTTTAATTGACAGGACAGATATGTAGACTGAAATGTAGGGAGTGGGCATGACATGCAGCAAACAGCGTCAAGAACAGGAATCTGTATTCCCACAAATAGACAATAGGGGTGGCTGTGGCTCAGTTGGTTGTCTGTCAACCGGAAGGTTGGGGGTTCGATCCCCAGCTCCTGCAGCAACATGTCAAGACACATAGCCCCGAATTGCTCCCACTGCCGTTGGCGACTTATGCACGTGCGTTCATGGGATTAGTAGTCAGAACACGAGAAAAGCGCTATACAAGCTCAAGTCCATTTACCATTTACCATTACCTAGGTCAATTGAGCAGATTAAAATCATTTGTGAACAGCCACTTAAATAAGTGGGAGAACAAAGCACAACACAAAATACATGTGGTTATGTATTCTGACGTTTTAATAGCCGACCCTCCCCCACCCACCCCTTGTTGCCACCTGCACAACCACAGATATATCCATTCTGTGGAGAACACTGTATAGCCTCTGTACATGGGGTGCCTGCCCTTCAAACTGAGCTATACCAGCACCAAAACCAGTCTTTCGGGATGGCTCATTAACTATGGTATGAGATCAGTATATTGACTGACATGTTTGCCGACACCCTAAAGCCAGTACACGATTCACAATACCCGATACCCCATAGCCAAACTATTATACCCAATATAACCCATACATTTGATTCCTAGCTTATACCATACAGGATACCCGATACTCTATTCCTAATACATTAAACCCTATACGATACCCTTGTATCTAAAAAACTAATTATAACTGATTACCTGTGCGCAATACCAATAATAACCAATACATCATACACAATAACCAATAACCAAAACCCTATACCGGATACATGATACACAATATCTGATGCCTGAGTCTGCCTAAAATGTGTCACACAAGTTATTTAAAATGATAATTTTAGTTCCAGAAGACTGCAGTTGATCAGAGATCACCTTAATGTTTGCCAGTTAAGATTCGACACATCTATTTGAAAGTGAGGTTCAAAAATTATATTAAAAGCATTCAACTTATAACTCTTAACTTTCAGTTCTGCAGGCGTTTCTTTTCTCAGAATTCACAACACTGCAGTCCCTCATTAACACTTTGAATTATTGAATGCATCCTTATGTCTGAGGTGTTGTTTTCTTGTCACAAACAAAGCATCGTGTTGCTCTCACTTTCAACCAAACTCGGACCTTGGGCTATCTCTGTGACACTGTCTCTGTGTGCTCGCCGGCAGCCAACCAAATCACCAAGAGCTTGTTGTTCCTGTCTCTTCAGCTGGCCCCGCAGTCGGCTAATCAGCTTTCAGAGTTAGAACAGGTGTGATGACTGTTGGGTGATAAAGAAAGATTATCCGTGTAGGTAAAAAAGCTTTGTGATCTGCTGGTACTGATTGTGATTTTAAAGAGACAGAGGTTTAGAAATAATATGTTGTCAACACTAAAAGAGCAAACTCTGAATCACTGCTTGCTCACTGGTTTCCTAAAGCGATGGCTCAGCTTGTTCCACCTCGCAGTCTGCTTATTGATGCAATACTTAAAGGTACAGTTCAACTCATTGACCCAAGGTTGCACTCCATCCGTCATCAGCTGTAACTTTTTATTCCTCTGTTATGCGTATTGACTTTAAACTTTGGCAAGATGTAAAACAAATAGGTATTATATTTGCTGTGACTCATTACTTTAGAGTTACAAGCTCTAACTTCTAAGCAGATTTTCCTGGCATTGGGCCCAGAATTGCATTGTCATGTTGCATTGATAATTAAAGTTGATGCTAAGGGGCCTGTTGGATGGCCTACGTATTAAACATTGCATCAAGGCAAACCGGGGAATATCAATCACACTGATGAGACGGCCTATTTATCATATGTTTACATTGCTGTTTACCTTGTTGACTTCCACTCAAATTGAATGACGAATGGGCCATAAACAAAGTGTGTGTGTGTGTGTGTGTGTGTGTGTGTGTGTGTGTGTGTGTGTGTGTGTGTGTGTGTGTATGTGTGTGTTTCTGCTGTGGGAGCAATGCATCAGAGACAGAGTGAGGGAGATGAGCATTTAATTACAGCTAAGCTAACTTGTTTCATGTGTGAACACGCATTGTGGAGCTGTTAATCTCAGAAGGATTGATTGATGGATTAGCTGCCGGATCAGTGAGTGAGCTCCGGTCACTGATATCCATCCATCCAGCCATCCAAACAGTCAGAAAAAAAACAACAACTCTAGTTGGTGCTAGGCTCCCTGTAGTCTAAAAAACAGACTCCCAAAGTACACAATCCAAATGGATGACCTTGCTCATCCAAGCCAAGGGAAACAGCTGGAGCCAGTGTCCTAGAATACCAATGAGTTTAATTAATCTCCCTTATTAAGCACAAATAAGCACCAGTCTGCAGAAGGGGGAGGGGGGGGGGTGTGTGGGAGAAAGAGGCGAGGGGAGATACAGCAGAGCAAGTATTAATAAATTAGTCGGAAAATGTTACACCCAAAATAAAGGTTTAAATATGTATGAAACCCCTGTCCCCAACAAAAGGGTCCAAAGCGTATGCCTGCACCAATCACATTCATCGTGACCCCTAGATGGTCCATTACCCCCCCTCCAATCCCCAGCCACACAATTCCTAACTTTAAGGCCCTCACTCATTTTCTATATATCTTAACATACATTTTTATGTATTTAACTATCCCATGTAACAGCATAGTGCACAGCCCTCATGCACTCACCCACACTTATCAACCTCACCCTTCTCTTGTTATTTCAGTCTTTATTATACAGGTACCTGTGGGTCAATTTAGCGATGTTGGTTTTTATTTCATTCTTGTTTTGTGTTTGAGTTTTTGGTGTTGTCTATGTTGTTGTTGTTGTTGCTTTCCTTGGGGCCATCGTTTCACGACACAACTCTGTCATGTTCTTTGTGTCAACAACAGGAAGAACAGAAAGCCTTTGTTGTCACTAAACACAAGATCCATGAGTTTAAGAAATGCTTTCAACGTTCATAAATTTACAGTAACAAAGAAAACACACATACAAGTAACAGTGTATATTACACAGTCGACAATGAATATTGCAAAGTAAAACAATGACTTGAACCAGCAGGTTATACTGCACTGCTTATAAAGAAATATTATAGCACCAGGCACAAAAAAAAGAGCCATGAGCCTTTGCCTCGATGCATTGCGCCATCTTGAAAGGAAAAGCCTACCTATTTATTACAAGAGTTTCTTTAATATTGTAAAATATTTTTGCAGGAGCCCATTCCAGCACTGCTTTGATTCAGTTAAGCCGAGAAGGCTCTGTCACACGGCCCATGACTCCTATAGCAAGAGTGTTCAGCCACATTCAATGTGCAAGGTGATAGCCAGTGTGGAATAATTACATCTTTCCAATTTCACATTCATGTTAACTGTCTGTGCGAGATATATATATTATGCTAATTAGTCCTAGAAATAATATAGAGGGTTCACATTTTTCTTCCTATACTCTCTCTGAATTAACAGTTGCTCTTGCTCACTGGCTCTACATTTCTCATGTTATTAATCTATCCAGCAGGTGGGAAACATTCCAGGGTGACAT